AATTGGGGGGGGTGGAAATTGAAAGAGTAGTAATTTTTTTTTTTTTATGTGACGCGGTGGGGGCGAAGCATGAGGTGGGGGCAGGTGCAGAGGAAGGGTGGGCATGATGGATTATGAGGAGGGGGAGGAAGGGGGGAAGGGAGTCTGTGGATGGAGAATAATAGGGGGGGGGTCCTTTTGAGATCTTTCCATGGTAGAGGAGGTTGGAAACGCAAGAGTGATCGGTGAGGAAGCGGTGGGGGGGAATCCGCAGCGTGTTGCGTCGTTTAGAGATTGAGTGGCGGCGGAAGAGGCGGAGGGGGGGGCGAAGGAAAGGTGGAGGAAGGGCGGGGGGGGGAAAGGAGAAAGGGCAGGCTGGGGGGGGGCCAATGGGGCATGGCTCCCAGCCTAAACAGGGTCAACGGCAAGATTGGGGGAAGGGGGGGGAAAAGGGGGGGGGGGGCACGGAGGGCAACCGGGAGAGGGAGATAATGGTCTTGGAGGGTGTTTTCCCCCCCCCCCCCCCCACCTCCCCATCTAATAGGCCTCCTTCTGTAGGCCCCCTTCTAACCATTCGCAGCGAGCGACACATGGACAAGATGGCCCCTGGCTCCCTTCATAACAATTGCAAACGCGGAAACATCACGGGAATCGAAACCACAAAATCGTCGCCACAATTCGTGAATTGGCAGACTAAAGCGAGAGCTAGTTCATACACTGTGGGCGCGACTTGCTGCTGACTTGCTTGCCTAGCTAGAACATAAGTCATCCGGGGTGAAAACACGCATCTTCCAACGTCCACGCACCAGCCCCATCACGGCATCCTGCACTGCTCGTGAATAGTTGAACCCCACGCACACACCTCTCTTTGACCCAACAGCAAACCAATCGCCGGAGCCCCCTCCTCCCCCCCCCCTCCGAACGAAATTCCAACAAGGATTCGATTAGATATGCCAAGATCGACTGTTATCAAAAAGGGGGGACAGGAGTGCGAGAGGGGGAAACCTCAGGAACGTGTCACAAAAAACCAAAACTGCCGTGATTTTTTGTTGCTGCTTGCCGTTTAATGAGTGGTTTGGGATCGGATAGGTCCGGCTCAGAGAAAGCCGCGGGATTAAGCACGAGCCGCCCGTTTTCGCTTCAAAAGAGGCGAGATCGTGACCGCGAAATCATGAAAACCAAAAGAGACTACTCCCGCCACAACCAACCGTCGAGGAGACTTTTGTTACCGCTCAACGAGCACCACCCCCCGCTACCAAACACTCCCCCTCTACGGTTTCCTAAACGCGGTAATTCACAGCTCCCCGCCGCCTCCTTGTGGCGGCTTGTCTTCATGCTCCGGGGCAGCCTTTTCATCATCTTCGTCTTCTTCCTCCTCCTCTTCCTCCTCATATCGTTCATCCTCGTCCTGAAAAATGGTTGAGGATAAAGAAAAACACGCGTAGAGTAAACCTCAAAGAGATACCTGGTGCAACCCTCTATCTGTGTACAACAGAAGATGGGTAAATTGGTCACTGGCAATCTGTACATGAGGATACGTACAAAAGGGACATGCATGGAGAAGGGCAAGCGTCAATCCTATCCTATGCATACCCGAACCCAAAAAAATGAAACAAAAAAAACACACGAAAAGAAGAAACGACGCAAAAAAACAAGGAGAGAGAGAGAGAGACACGCAGAACAACGGTTTACGTAGCGCAACAGAAATATGGAGACGGTGGAAGAGGTACCCACGACGGGAGAGCCAGATACCGTACCGTACCGTACAGTACTGGTTATCTGGTTATATAGATTTCTGCGAACCGTAGTATTCGCCTGGAGACACGGACACCAACGACGAGGACACCAACGACGACGGCTTGTCCCGTACTGTGAGCACATTTTCCTTTGGCTCAAGGAAAAAACCAAGGCACCACCTCTCTCCCAACCGTAGGTGTTCACTTGAAGACACAGCCGAGACGATATGTTGAGCAAAGGGGGGCAAACACAACGCACCAATTTCTCCGAACTGCGACGAACCATTCACATGGACGCAACGAACAGCAAACGACGACATTGCAAGCAAAACGAAACATGAACGTAGCATCCTTCGCGGGTTGTACTAATAAGTAAACATGTTGGATAAGCATTCAATCGGGGAAGTTGGGTTAGGGTTAGGGTTAGGGATTAGGGTCTGCGTACCCCCTCCCTGTTCTATTTCCTCATAAACTTATTAATCGCGCGAAGTCGGTCCGAACGCACCAATTCGCCCGCGAGAAGCTCCTCCATGCGCCGTTCCGCCTCCTGTTCCTCATCCGACAGCTCGTCCTCCTCGTCTAACTCCTTGAGGATGTCCTCCAATGACGGCACCTTGGGCTTGTCGATGTCTTGCTTGGATTTCTGCAACAGTAAAAAAAGAGAGAAAAAACAAAAAAGGACAAAATATAACAGAAACGCAGCCGCATTGTTGATGTCTTGTTTTGGATTTCTGCAACAACCGCCACAACAGCAAGAACAAAACAGAGAGCCAAAGACAGGCGGGGATACAACAAAAACAAAAACGCAGACGCACAAAAATGAAGGTCGCAATCCGACGTGCGGACTTGGAATGACACACTGCATCACGCAAGTTTACGTTGCCTCGAACATACACTCAGAGGGCCGTTCTAAGAGCGCGCCATTCCCATTCGAACAACGTCGCAAGTACTGCACCGTCCGTGAAGATGCCAGACAGAAACAGCTCACGTACGTCCCTTCTCGACAAACGACCGATGTCCGCCGACACGATACAAGTAGAGGTTGGTGAGAAAGATATCACACCCCCTGAACCGTTATTCAAAGCTAAATTACTCCGTCACGAAGAGGGTGCCAAACCCAAACGATTTCTACATTTTCAGAAAAAGCTCTCAGTGACAATCGTATTCGCGTCAACCTTTGAAAATCGGTCCAAGGAGGGGGAGGGGGGGTGTTATCTTGTGCAACAAAAAACTCCTCACCTCCGAAACATCGGAGAGCAGCTTCCCCGCGTAGAGATCCGACATGAAGTCCGACTGGGCGCTGATGAAGGTATCGAAGTCGGTGGGCTGGTTGTACGCCCATATGACGAAGGCGATGACTCCCCCCACGGCCACGACGCGGTAGTACCCCTGCCCGCTCGACCCCTTCTCGAAGGTCCACACCTTTAGAAGGAACCAAACCAAAACAGACCGAACGAGAAAAAAATCATGTCAGCATGTCGCAAAAGTTGTTCTTACAATGAAGACAAGTTCGTTAATCAACGGGACGAAAACAGGCAGAACGAACAAGTGAACAGCTGTTTCGTAATACAGTGTAACACATTTTTCAAACAACATGTTGTCTGGGTTAAGGAAAAGAAAATCAACCGAGGAATTGGAAGCAAGGGTGAAAGAGTTGAGCCGGCTGGCCTGCCCGCCCGACCCCTTCTCGAAGGTCCACACCGTTTCGACGGGACCACAGCAGACCGAACGGGTAAGTAATGATGTCAAGAATTGTTGTAAACAGTTTCGAAGAAGTTTTGATGCAGTTTTGATGCGGATGAGAAACAACAGAGAACTTGGACGGGAAGGGCGAAAAACGTGTAAAAACTTCAATCAACCCTTAACTTAGTACCGAGATGTCTAGTTGGTATCCTCGAAACCTTCTAAAGGTCAGGTCAGGGGTTCGATCCCGGCGTAAGCGAGGTTTTCTTGCAAAGTGAGTTTTTCTCTCGCTTCCGCTTCTGGCCTAGTGGACAGCGCTAGTTCGTGTGTACACAGAGGGAAGAGTGCTGAACTCTTCTCTCATTAAAAATCGAAGGCAAGGTACCGCAGGAGTGGAGGGCAGTAGTGCTGTGAGCGCTGATTTGAAGTGAAGACAAAAAAAAAAAAAAAATGTACTAGTGGGGTCCGTGCTTAGTGCCGGATGAATAGTGCCAATGCCCGGCATGGGGCAGGCGTTTTCGGCGGGCACACACTCAACTTCCAAGCTATAGTCAGTACTTTGAATATTGCCAATGACCTGTATCGTGCCGGTCAATTTTCTGTGCACATACACCGGCACAAAACAGGGACCCCCTCTGTATCTCGATTGTCTCTCTGTGATTAGCATATTTAGAGCCAGTTGCCCACAGGGGAGAATCGCTGTGCTCTACTCGGGGAACCGTAGAAACACTGGTAGCGCTCCGCCAATGCTGATAGTTAATTGCTACATAACTTATCCTGGACTCTCATCATCCGTGGACAGAGATCGATCCACTGTGATAAAAACATTCTAAGAAAAAAAAGAAGTTTTTTTTGCTCTTCTCACCGGAGTGAAGGACTCGGCAAAGGCAAGTGTTTCGTCGAAGAGTCGGGGCAGAACCCAGAACTCGTACCCAGCGATCCACGCGAAGAAGAAGAGAAGACACCGGATGGTGAGGAAGGTCACCATGATCACCAGCAACGTCACAGAGAGGTACCACATCCACACCTGTGGTTTTGGTAAACAACGGTCGTGAGTTGTAGGTTAAGGACCGGTCTCGTAGTGCCAGCAGCGTACCGAATGGGTTGTTCTCTTTTCCGTCACAGAGAGAGACAGATGGACAGAGAGAGACAGGAAGAGAGGCAGACAGGCATAGAGAGAGACAAATAGAGAGACAGAGAGAGAGCGAGAAAACGAGAGAGACAGAGAGAGCGAGAAAGAGCGACAGAGACAGACAGAAACAGAGACAGAGATAGAGGCACAGACGTAGACAGATACAGAGGCAGAGGAAGAAAGGAAAACGAAGAAACACACGCACACACCTTGAGGATGCGTGGCCAGATGGGGAAGCACGTGATGAGCAGGAATCCGATGATGATGAGGGCGGTGAACAAGTGGCTCAGACGCTGGGACCCCAGGAAAATCCACGTGAAGTAACCGGCCGGGTCGAACTGGTTGTTGCCGCTCACCTAGACCCCCAAGAGATGATGGGGAAAGAGCAAAAAACAAGTAGAGCAGAAGAAGAGCAGAAACATAGGACCTTGAGGGACGATAATAACAGAGGGATATCCCGGACGACCGTTGGACGTTTCGAACACCCCCGAATATTCGTTTGCGTCTTTCACCATGAGGTAGAAAGATACCCCGAACGACCACTGGCCCTTTGCTTGAATTCAAACCACGATAAACGGGATGACGCCCACGTCTAGCGTGCATGTAGCACGCAGCCGCTCGTAAAACTGATCGGCGGCGTATTATCAACGTTGAGGTTTGTTACGAGAGCGACAGCCGAGGCTACTGGCTCTCTTTTGTTTCGTAAAAACCACGAAAAGAAGGTGTTCGTAGCCATGAAAAGGTGTTAAGAACCATCAAAAGGTGTCGTGTAATAACCATCAGGAAAAGGCGTTCATGACCATCAGGAAGGTGCCCGCCTTGTGGCGCCGTCGCAGAGTCAACAACATCACAGGGCCGGATGGAATACAGTCCCAGTACTGTACGTCCGAAGCGCTTGATCCGGTTATTGTAGAGGAACATCGACGAGGCTTTATCGCACGCCCAAGAGTACGCACGCCCCGTCAGGCTGTGCACTACCTACCGTGCTTGTGCCGACTTGGAGGCTAGTGCATGCGCCTGTGCTGACAGCCTAAGTAGTTAGTTGTGTTTGGTTGTCAACAAAAAACAGAGAATCATCACCAAAAATTTGCGTGGTTGTACGGGTGATGAAATGTGTGCAACCTACTTTTTTCCTGCAGCCATTTCTTGCTTTCGGCAGAGACGAGACGGAACAAAAGTAACACCAACAAGAATGCAGTATATAAACAACCGCTGCTGCCAAGAGCAGAGCGTTGATCCCCCCCTCACCTCGAGATGGCGCTCCCCTGCCCCCCCCCCCTTGACCTTCTCCGAGCGGTGAAAGTACCTGCAGACGACGAGCGCCAACAACAACAACGACAACGACAACAATCATGTGATAAGTAACTCAAGTGTATCGGCTTACACAAACTCAAAATAAGCCCAGTTTCCAGTCGGTTTCAATCCACCTACTGAAAAGACTTCCAACACATTCCTTTCGACTGAGGATATATCTCGAACGGGTATTATAGTCTTTCTGTGAGGTTATGCTTACTTCTAAAAATAATCAAGGGGCCGACGAAAGAGATGCATCACTACACCTCGGAACTGAATTCACAACGTCGGATTAGAGTCAAGATCAACACGGTCTCCTTACCCAGCTCATGTTTCCAAGCAGCTCCGTGGCTACCATAAGGTTACGTTAGACATCACACCCCCAGGGCCGATTTCTCAAAGCTCGATTGCTACTTTCAGCGGGTGCCATCTGCAGGGCCCGCTCAGTGAATGCTGGCGTTATGTATTCGCGCGTGGCAACGTCCTCTCGATTAAAAAGAGTCCACTCACTCATGGCGAAGGAGAGCTTTGCAAACCCGAATAGCCTCCTCCTCAGTCTTGATCGCCGGCCGCCCCTTCTTGGTGTTGGTCACCAGAAAATTCACCAACTTTTCCCCTGTGGGACAGACAGACAGACGGCAGTCAAGCGACCACAGGCCCCACGGCGAAAGCACCCAAGCGATGGATTGCCGGACGAGGGATGCGGGAACGGCGAGGGCGTTGCGAAAAAATATTGTAAGGCTCGACGCCAATGACGACGAATCAAGCACCCATTTTTCTTGCCCTCCGCGAAAGGTGCACAAATCTGAAAGCAAAGACATCGCACAAATATACAAACCCACAACAAGAAAAATCATGCAAGCGATGAGAGGAAGAGGTAGTGGACATCAACGACACCGATCTAACGGATGTTTTTCGGCCCGAGACTCGGCGGTAAATCCAGCGAACCCTCCGGCGGAATTGCCGCCAGACCGCTCAACGGTGTCCCGAAGTTCGTTGAGTTGACCCCCCGCGAACGTTGCCAACTGACTTCCCAGTTGATATACTTGGCTGAAACAAGAGACCACCGACCCCGGGAGGAAATGAAAGGGACAAGACATGCACTTTTCGTCAAGGGCTCCGTGGATTCAATTTCCCCCCAGATAAACCAACTGGGAATGGGAAGTCAGTTGGCAGAGTTCGTGGAGGAGGGTCAATTCAATGAACTTCGGGACGCTGTTCAGCGGTCTCGTGGCCAATTGCGCCGCAAGGGTCGCCGGAAATACCGCCAATAGCTCGGGTCGAAAAACTACCCTCACGGTCAACATATGTGCTGATAACACGTGACAGCTAGCCACAACAGCAGTTCAAACCTCAGACAGATTAGTTCGATGTTCGTACCGCTACTCGAGGTACAATTCCTCTCGCTAGAAGCAGCTAGGAGAGAAAAAAGTGGCCGCTTGAAAGGTCGACCGAAAAACGCGAGCAATCTTGAATCCACAACACAAGATGTAAGCATTATGTGAACACTTTTTGATGAACACGCTACCGAACCCAATGGATCAACAACGTTTCTGCGGCCACATGTTGTGCATGATTCGGTCAAGCCCGGGAGGGGGAACTTGTTTCCGCCGCAGTCAATGCACACGTACAGCGACCGGCGCAGACACCAGCAACACTACGGAACCCCCCTGCCCAGAAACGTCAACATGAACATTCTGCACCACAGCCAGGGTTGAGAGAAAGCTTGGGGTGCGAGAAAGCTGCTTGACTTAAGGGCTAATTTCATGGGCTCGATTCTTCCGAAGGGCGGTAATTCTCATCTCTCGACGTCCCGCTTGTCGTGGGGCGGGGTGGGCGGGGCTGCTTTGTCGGCAAGAGCCTAAAAGCTCTGACATGCTTCTGTTGGCGCAATTTCTTCATTTCTACTCTTGTGTACAAGTGGGCTGCATCGTGTTCGTAGTGTAACTTTTGGGGATTGCGAAATCGTATTCTGAATGGTGGTGAGACAGGCTGCTGCGTAGCTGTCGTGAGCTGGCGCCACCCTACCGCTGCCCAGCACCGCCCGGCCTGCCGCCGAATGAGCCAGCAGGCCGAACTGGAACTTACGCGTGAGAAACCTCTAGGAAAAATCCATATTCCAGGTGTGAGAGACCGCCCAAATCGCCTCCCGAAGAAGGGGGGGGGTGCTAGCGTCATTTGTGTTATAATTGTAGGTGGCAGGAACAACTGTTGGCAAAAACCACCTGCTGTTGGTTGCATAAGATACCACACCCCCTGGACCGATTCTCAAGGCCTGATTATGCCACGACCACCAACAGGGTGCATTATGCATAAAATGACATGTTTTCGGAAAGCTCTCGACGAAGAGGTTCCAACGCCACCAAATTCCGGTGCCGCCCATTTGCTTTGAAGGTCGGTCTAGAGGGTGTAGTATCTTGCGAAACACACGCTGCAAAATTAGGCGTGCACCGATGTACATGTGGCAGCACACGTAACCTTTTGCAGCGGAGAGGGATTACGAGATGAAGTTATGAAATCAGAGCAAAAGGGGGGTTATTAAAAAGTTCGCGTCCGTTACCGCCTCCCGCGAGCACGCTTGGATAACGTTGGATAGATAGCTTTGGAGGCATAAGGCATGAGTACCTGGCACGAAGAACTGCCGCGACCTACATATATAGGTATGCATACATGAAACATGTAAGTGGAAAAATCGCGAACATGAACTCCCGCCCCAACACGTGTCAGATGCTGGTGGTGGGCTTCTGTCCATGAGTGTCTCGACCGCAGGCTCGCGTCTTAACGATAAAAGTCAAACGTCAAGAAATGCTTCAGCCTCAACGCCGCGGGACCGGTCAAGCTCGATGAAAAGAGAGAGAGGGCGGCCGGAAGCAGGTGATGTGTAGGTTTTGTGCTGTGCACGAGTGGATGCGGTGGAACCCTACAAGCTGTATGTACACTTCTTTCTTTTATTTCTGCACCACGTTTACCGTGTGTTTTGAGAGACTTGTAGTTGATGCTACCGGTTTCCGCGAGGACTGCTGCGAATCTATCTTAGGTCTCGTTTACCGGCGGTGAGAATCAACACAGTTATACTCCCATGGACAACTTCCACGCAACAGCAATAACATCAAGGGTGGGTGGCCGGCGACAAGGGGGCGTCTGGCCCCCAAAAAGTCGCCCGTAGCCCCACATACATGCACGACAACCAACCCGCTGGACATGATGAAATTTGAAATCTTTTCCTCGCTTGCAAGCTAAGAAAAACCGGGAGCGTATCGGGAATCGTTCGCGGTGCCACAGAAGGGAGACTATCAGGCAAGACTTGCGGCGGCCACCGCGGCAAGGAAGGGAGTGTTGGGCAGGAAACAAATCCGATTGCCGCTGCTTTTGAGCAAAACTCATGTTTTCGGCACCCACCCCACCCAACCAAGAGGAACTAACTTTCGAGGACACGGGACTGCCTCAAGGGGCTGGAAAATAAAGACTACTCGGGGCACAGGAGTGGGCGTCTGCGTTCTCTTCTTTGGCCCGCAGCAACGTGTTTCCCCCTACACCGCAGTACTCCATGAGCCAAGGGTACTGGTGTCGAAAAGGGGCGGCGGGACGTAAACTCCGCTCCTCCTCTGATTGGTACACATAGACACCTGATCATGCACACACACGAGTATTTTCGAAAGAGGGAACGACCCTTCGTGTGTTGTGTGATCGAGAGTCAACCTCATCCAAATCTCTCCGTTTCCTGCGTGTCAATGGCTCACCCTTGAAATACTCCACGCGCTTGTCCACCTCAATCGCTGGCCGCAGGGGCATCCCGTTCCTCCCCCTCAGGAACGCAGCCACTTCCTTCAGCCCCTCCTCTGTCTCATACTTGGACACATCCGTCCCTGTATTTGAGGCCATCCTCCTCCTCTCCTACACCCAGCCAAAAAAACAAAAACCAAAGCAAAGGACGTACGCACTCCTTTGCATGCAAGGCTCTCGGTCCCTGCAAGCTTATTGCAACGCTTGTCTGGCTTTCGTCGCGAGCAGGCGTCTCTCCACCTCAGTGGTACACAGCAGCAGTGACTGGGTGCAAGCTCTCGGACCGCTGAGAGACGCTGGCCGGCACACAACACACGTGGCTCCGAGGGCCAGGGGGGCGAGCTAAATGTAAAATACCATCTGCGGGCCTCCCCTGGCTAGCGGTGACACGCCGCTGCTCTGTGCTCTGTGCTGCCTGCCACTGCGGGGTGGTTGTTGGTCCTTCCCTTGTGTGGAGGTACAGAGGCCACACAACAACAGAAGCACAACGCCGTTCCATCCTTGGGAGAGTTATGCCCTCTTCTTCCCAGCACCAGCAGGTCTCGCTGCTGGTGCTCGCGGTCCCCCTGGGGTGTGCGGTGTGCGCAGCCCTGGTTGGATACCAAGCAGGGGCGGTAGCATGGCGGCGCAAGAGGGAGGGGGACCAGGCCAAAGGTGGGATTGTGTTCTCCAATATTCTCGGCGTTTGTTTTTGAGTGTCTAGACTATGTTTATCCATTGTGCTGCTGCAAAGTCTATATCTGTGTTGGAGCACGGTCGAATGCCAACGATAAGCAGGGATGATCCCAGGGTCGCATGCTGTCAGGCCATGTGTGTTGTGCAGATCCAATCATGTCGGCTACTGATGTACAGCAGTACTGTAGATACCACGCGGCCAAGGCGTGGAGGCGTTCGGTGTTTGTGTGTTGGTGTAGCCGTGCTAGAGATCAGCAGCAGTGAGGTTGAAGGCTACAATGAAGCATGTGTCCCACAGAAGGGCATTTGTATTGGCGAGGTAAATACTTTGTGTGCTACATGTACACCAGGCAGCCTATCGTGTACGGTAGAACGTGTAACGGTAGAGCAGCACGAGCAGTCCGTTTCATGAATGCGTGTTAAGGGCGCACTGGGGATCGCGGTACCTCCTCTGAAAAATTCAGGAAACGCCTGCATATCTCGGTTTTCCAAAGTCTAACTTCAGTACGAAACTTCCTTCGCAAATTATCCGTCCGCTGACCCCCCCTCGTGGACAGTGTTAGCTGAGATTGTAGCCCTTGCGATACACTGCAGACTAGTGGTCCGCGATTTTCCAAACGATCCTTCTATCATCGAGTTCGGTGAGCTACAAGCTAGATTTTTGAAGCTGCTGTGCGGTCCGATTTTGAAACGCTTCAAGCACCTTCGCTTAAGCTATACATGCATATACATGACCCCAGGCATTCAAATCGAAAATGGCGACCAGCTGGATATGTGAGGGAAGAGCTGCGCTGAAGTTCGCGGCCCCATACACTCACATAGGCGGTGATTCGTGTTCACCATGTGCTTGAAGCGTTTCAAAATTGGACCGCACAGCAGCTTCAAAAATCTAGCTTGTAGCTCACCGAACTCGATGATAGAAGGATCGTTTGGGAAATCGCGGACCGCTAGTCTGTAGTGTATCGCAAGGGCTACAACCTCAGCTACTAACATTGTACACGAGAGGGGGTCCGCGGACGGTTTATTTTGCGATGGAAGTTTCGTACTTAGGAAAACCGAGATATGCAGGCGTTTCCAGGCGTTTCCTGTTTTTTTGAAGAGGAAGTACTGCGATCCCCAGTGCAGCCTTAAGCTGAGCGTACCCGTTGCCGTTGGTCGGGACAAGACATAATCTCGGGCTAATGACTGCTTGTATCATTCGTTGCGAGCCTCCAGGGGCTGCTGATTACCGGCCATTTTGTCTACCCCTAATTGCTTGCGTAGCCAGTACACACAGAATTGTGTTGAACAACCCACCCAAGTACTACAATAATAGTACTGTAGTACAAGCGGTGCGGTGTGAACCTGTTGTTGCATGTGAGTCGATGGGACAGCGCTACAGCAGTAGCAACGTCAAAGGCCTCGGAGATGCCACCGATGTACAAAACTCGGTACATGTATGGCTATGTTCTGGTGCCGCGTGCTTTTGTGGAACTTCCGTGATTCGCAACGCACAGATGGACAGAAAGTAGAACGACGCACCGGCGCACCGGCCCGTTTTGCGGGTTGAGAATCCCGCGAGCACGTCTTCGCAGGTGTTGACAACTGAGATGTTTGAAGCAACAGCACTGCTGTCGCTGTGCAGCTATATTCCCAGCCGCAGCTACCAAAGCAAGTGGCATGTCATGCGAGGCCAGGCAGGCCATCACGCAGAGTTTTTTTATTATCCACACACTGACGCCAAGCCGTCCTCACCTGCTGACGGTTACAGACTTGGCAACGCCTTTCACAAAACATACCGTACCAAACCCATGCAGTAGAGCCGTTCTTGTGCTGCAATTACTCCCAACGCATTCCGAAGTACCGACACCATTGGCAGGCGGCCGGGGGATTGTTGCGGGAGGGGGCGGCCAATGACTGGGTTCACAGACTTGGTCGTTGGTTGGAATTGTGCTAGATGCAAATCAGGTTCCTCCTCATCATCCCCCGGTCCCTCCAAATGCAAAATGAGTGCGATACATACGTGTGTGCCATACGTCGAACAACACATCGAACAACACTTATGTAGGCACCGTTATGTTTTGCAACTAGAGATGCATGTACATTTCCCTATTGTGGTGAACGTTCTTGCATGCTTTGCGTTGACGTGGAAATTCGATTCCAAATTCAGAGGAAAAAGAGGCGCACCAACGGAGCACCGCCGCAGGCATGCAGCACCACCACGCGCTGAGGAAGCTTATCTCCGATTCCACCGGGAGAGGTTTCGGAACGGTCAAGCGAGTCTACGTCGTGCCAGGTACGCATCGTCTACTGCACCTGTTAACGGGGGGGGGTTACTCATGTAGACGCATGCGGTAGTCGTTAGACCAATGACCTCGCATCCCTACAATATTGCCGCGACGGAGCGATATGCCGGGTTTTGGTCGGCCCAGGCTATCACATCACAAGGATGAGCCAGAAGCTGGTCATCATTGTTTGCGTTTGAGGTTGGGGGCGGGGGGGTGTTCACCCCCATCAAAAACGGTGCACATGTCTACAAGAAGCTGTTCAACGGTAGCTCGCTTACAATTTGGCGGGAGTGTGAACCTCCGCCGCAGTTGACGGTACTATGCGAGCGGGTCCCACGACAGGCGAGGTGGCTGGTCCAACCAGCACTCCAATTCAACCGACGTCGGCGATATCAAATCTCAATCTGTCCATTTCAAGTTGCTAGTATTGTTTCCCCGGTACACGTGTATTGAAGTGGTTTGTCCCAGTAGTGCGCGCGGATCGTGCAGCGGTTATTCTTAAGAGTACAAGCTTTTGCCCTCCGGTTTTGTTTGACAGGCGGGGGGCCCGGGTCGGTGAAGGATGCAGGGTACCCCTCCTGGACCGCGCAGAGGGTAGCTAAGGCCCTTGAACGGTTTGATATGAAGTACGGGGACACCACGGCCTTCCTCGCGCTAGGGGCAGGTGAGGGGTCTTTATTTCTTGCCGCATTTTGTCAAAGAATCAGTGTGGCGGAGGTCGAAAAAATAGTTAAACGATTGGAAGAACTTGTTCCGTCATGCTGTCCGTTGCTGCCGTGGCAGATGTTTTTTCGTGTGGTGGTGCTTTCCTACATTCGTTTGCTCTCTCTCTCCATCTCTCTCCCTCTGTTGACTCAAGAGGCAAGCATGGGCTACTCGTGCTGTGGGAGCAGATGAGCATCAATCAAGCCCAGAGCATCGTTTTTTGTAGTTTACCGTGCTACCCGTTCAATTGTCCCCGAAACGGACTTGGCTTGGTGGTTGGTTGGATCTTCTTCGGTGTTTTCTGTGTCTCCGGTTTTTTGTTCAGGCAGCATGAACGCCCCCAGCGCTCGCGGCGGGAACGGGCACGTCATCTTCGAGTCGGCGAGAATAGCAGAGGAACTCGTGCGGTGAGGCCGGTCGTACGTCTGATGCTCTTCTGCATGTCCGTCCCTCTCTGCGTAGGGGTCGTGTGGTTGAGCTCTTCGCTTTTGCGTCCCGCGCTACTCGCCTGTGTGGGGAACGGTCTGGCTTTTGTGTTCGCACTTTTGGTTTGACTTCCTTGCTGTCGCGTTCCGCGTTGATCGCCCCGTCTGGGGAACAGTCTAGCCCGTGATGCTTGTTCACCCGTGTTTGTCGCAGGGAACATGTTTCGCCTGCTGTGCTAGTACGACGGTAAGTTGGTTAGTCTCTTCCACGTCTCTTTGTTTTGGTCGTTTCGTCAACCGGTCTGCTTGGGCCGCAATCTCTCCGATGATGGTCGGACCTGCTGCATGCCACCCGAGTGTTTGATGGTCGTCAAGAATTTCTAGATACTAACCCCTACCCCCCCCCCACCGGCCTTTTGAAGAGGAGGCGTTCCTCCGGGGAGCATCATCGCGGACTTCGCGAGCTGGGATACCGTGGGCAACGCGTGGTTCGCCAGGATGGCGGTGGAAGCCATGCTGGACATGTCCTTCCGGCACGGGGACCGCGCGAACGAGCACGCGGCACCGCCGCCGCCGCCGCCGCCGCCGCCGGCCCCCGCCGCCGGCGTCGCGCCGTCGGTGTTGTCTCCGAGAAAGCTCCCCTACCCGGGCAGCGCGGTAGTAGCGGAGAGCGGCGGCACAGGCGAAGGCGAGAGTGAAACGGCAGCGGCGGTAGGCGGCGACAACGAGCCGGGACTCTTCTCGGCGCGGAGGGAAGCGGCGGCGGCGGCGGCGAGAGGGCTGACGCTGAAGGAGACCAAGAGGGCGGACGCGGTGGCGGCGGCGGCGGCGGCGGCAGCGGCCGCGAAGAGCGGGGCAGGGGGCGGGGGTAACGGGGGGGAGGAGAAGCTGCCGGCGGCGCGGGCCGGGGAGGCGTACGGGGGCGGGGAGATGAGGAAGTGGATGTACGACTGGAAGAATAAGAAGGCGAGGGCCCGCCGCGGCCCGATGAACCTCACGGTGTTCGTGTCGGACTTTCACGCCGAGAGGATGGACGCGGTCTTCCAGTGGGTGTTCGGCCTGGAGCCGTCCCTGCTCAGGGGCAAGACTACGGTTACGGTGAGTGAGGAGATGACGAGCCACTGCCGAAGGAGCCGTTGGTATTGCTGGGGCTACCCCACGCCGCAGGGGAAAGGTGTGGCTATACAATGTAGTATTAATCAAAAAAAGGAATGAACAAAGCTCCTTTGTGACCCTCCTCTTGCGTGACCCCGGCTGATACGTCAGATATATACTTGTACGCCGAAAGGCCTGTGGAGCCGGCGCCAGAATAGATGGGACGAACACACACACCGGGGTGGGGGGAAAGAAAAGGAGGAATGCCCTCCCCTCCCCCGGCCCTTGTTTGGAAGTGGGCTGAAAGGGCAGGAAGTGATACGCACATCGAGGATAGATAAGCTAGGGACAGCAGTATTGAGTTACCATTGGCAAAGTAGGGAGAACGATTGGCCGTCGGTGATCGGTCCTGTAGAAACAATACTCCGTCCTCTCGAGGACGCGTGGTCAATGGTTTAGCCGCTAGGGCATCCAGTACGCCCGCCCCCCCCACCGTTTGAGTTTATCCTTCTGCAGTTGATGTGTGCGAGTTGTTGCTCTCTTTCTTTGTAGCAAATCTCCGGGACACAGACCCGTGATAACGACCAGGCACAAAGTGTCGTGTGTACCATGTAGTAGCAGCTTCAATACGTAGCTCCGAAGGGCGAGAAGTTTGTCTAATCGGAGGTGGGGGGGATTGTAGCGTGTGCGTTTGGGTTGCTCCAGCATGCCCGGCGGGGGGGCGACGTCGAGTCGACTGCTCCACACAAGAGTTAGGGATCATGGTACCCGCCGGCCAGAGACTCACTGTTGACGTTGAGTTTGTCCGGCCGTACGCGGTGCAACTGCAGCTGGTGCCGGGTTGACAGTAGCAGCTATTGTACTAAGGGGTGTCGTGCCAAGCGTAACGCTCCGTGTCAAAGCTGAGGAAGACGCAAGCACATGACGACTCCTCGCCGCCTTTGTCTCTCGTAAACAGTTAACGTGGCCGTGAAAGTCACTCATGACACTCCACACCGTTCGATCGATTTCCCTCCGGCACACACTCCCACCCTCCCTGCGCTTTTTCCCTGAAACGTTTTGTCGCCGACTTCGTTTCTCCTCCCAAAACGCCGAAATATGCAGATCGTGAGCATCGAGACGCCGGTAGAGATGTGGGCCAGGGGAGGGGAGCAGAGAGAGGCCCGTCAAGCCCACGAGAGAGAGGCGGCAGAACAGGCGCGCCAGCGGGCCCGGGAGATCCGCACCGTGGAAGAGTTCCGAGCTTTCATGATGCTCGGGGGGCACCGCGGATACTTCGACTTGACGCACGGGCGGTACCAGGCTAGCTCCGGTGGGGGCTGGGGGGGGGCATCGTAGTGCGTTGGTTCTCGAAGCGTTGCGGCGTGCGGGGTGAGAGAGGGACTGTGTTTGCTTTTTGCTTGCCCCGGTTGCAGACCTAGGCTGCCGGCCTGCCGCGCTGTGTTGTTGCTGTTGTCGGTTGTCTTCACATGTGTGTGTGTGTGCGATAAGGCTGCCACAAATGGCTGTCAGCGATAGTCCTCTGCTTTCTGGTAGCGTGAGAGAGGCAACAAACTTCGTCGCAAAACTGTTTCCGAACCAATCACGCAGTGCTGTGCGAACAATGCCCTAGGGTGGGAAAACGTGCGAGTCACGCCTGTCCTTACCTCCTGTGTGACCCCGGCATGTTCGTCCAGAATTACACTCATGGGGGGCCCTCGGTAGTGCTGGTTGAATAGTACCACTGCCCGGTAAAATGCCGGTATTTTCGGCGGGCACAGACGGAATAACCAAGTAATTCTGTATCCGGTAAATAGTGCCGGTGGCTCTGAATAGTGCCGATACGCTGGTCTGGTCCATATCGGCACTGCGGAGGGCCCCCCGCTGCTGTGTGTCGAAAACCTGCAAGTACCAACGTCCAGAATACTAGTGGAACGAAGAAAAAAAAAAGACACACAATGTAAACACTACAGAGATGTTTGGAGGTAAACAAACCTTTTCTTCTGTGGTTGTTGATCCGACCCTGCACACATGGTAGGTTGGATACCTCCGAGCGAATTCGGCCGCACGCCGCACAAGAGCTCCCGTACCGTAGCATTGATTCTTCCCATCTGCCGTTCCCCCATACACCTTTCCCTGCTGTACATCCCTTGAGACAAACTGAAGACGAAAAAACTTCACTTTGGACGCCACACGCAGGTTTCTCGGCGTTCTTTGGTTTCACTTATGTACATCTATTCGCTATTTTAATCGTTCATTTTTCTCACACACGTTAAAATTGCACAAACAACACATCCAACAAATACAACATCACACCAGATGGCCAGGCGCCGGGGATAGGGGAGCGTGTCCCCAATCTCTTGGCTGTTTTCAATCACATCCCCAAATAGCAAGCTAAGGTTTCTGCTGCTAAGAAACCCATACTTGATTTTTTTTTGGTCATGTGACAGAATTCCTGTTGAGATTGCAGGCCGTTGCTTCTTGGTGGTGCACCGCGCGTGACCATCCCCACATAAAGCCTTACGGCTCAACTCTCGGCGACAAATCAAATTCCAATTCGGGAAGCAGCGTTGGCCCACGGCAAGCCATATTTACATGCGTACAAGCAGCAGTAGTGCAAGGTACCAGGTACACCACTACCGCCACCAACGAGACTGCGGCAAGCATCTGTTTCCCGGTAGCTCGTGGAAAAATAATCTTGAAGAACGGATATTTTCGGGTGTATACAGTAGTGCGTGAGACAGACAATCCATGATGCGCGCGTGTGGTAGATCGTTAGGGCGGCGCTTCCAGCAGCCTACGCCACGCAGAGGGAGGACGCGGCGCCCACCGCCCACTCCAAGTTCTTCACCAGCTGGCACAGCCACGGCTTCCAGGACCCCTGGCCCTTGAGCGCGCCTATGGAAACCCCGCCGACGGCGTCCTCCGTCTGCTTGTACGGCACCCCGACGTCCGACCACGCCACGCAGGCGGCCCCGGCGGACACCTCGCCCTCCAGCCGCCGCTCGAGGACCCGCCTCTCTAAGAACGCCATCACCTCCGCCGAGCACGCGAGGAAGGCTCGGACGGCGGCGAGGTGCCGGAGGTTCTCTTCCCCGCTGCCGCTGCGGCCGCCGCCCCTCCCGCCGCCGCCGCCGGTGGAGAAGAGGTCGTGCGCGCACACGACCACGACCGAGGTAGCGGCGGCGGCGGGTTCGGGGCCATGCCCTCGCCGGCCTGCACCGTCCTCCTGCGACAGGCCGCCGCTATTGTCTCCGCTTGCCAGCTGCCGTCGGCGTTTCGCGACGGTCCAGTTCGCGGTTGGAACACCAGTGACGCCAGCGTGAGGGGGGGGGGGGGGAGGGGGGGGTGTACTCATAGTCGTGCATGCCGTAGTCGTTTGACCATTGACCTCGCATCCCTACAAAGCCGGGACGGAGCACGCCGGGTTCTCACCGGACCAGGCTCTCACATCACCAAGCGCGAAGCGCCGTGAGGTATTTGGCGAGTCGCATGAAGGGTGAGCTGCATCCTGCTAAGGGTGTTCGGCATCTTGGCTTACTTCCTTGCGTACGGATGACAGCTACGTATGACTTAGTTTATTTTCTGGTGCTTTCACTTCCATTGACAGTTGTAAGCACTGTGTAACTGCCTCGAGGAAGCTTGACCATTTTAACACAACGTGGTGCGATCATCCCCCGTTGCGCGGAGTGAGGGTTCTCGACCCCGCACAACATGATCTACTCGACCACCATTTTGGTTACCGCCAAAAAAAAAACCGAGGTAAAAAAAAAAACGGTAACCTGGTTGCCGAGTTCA